ACTATCTTCATATTTTTGGATTCTTTTTTCTTTTTGCTTTTCCGGTAGGGTATTTTTTGTATCTTTGTATTTCAAATCTTTGACTTGATTCTTGGGAACCTCTTGTCTGCTGTTGGATCTCTGTATGTTATTCTTTATTTCAGTCAGTGTATGCTTAATTTCTAGTTGGTCTTTTTTCATATCTTCCAGGGTCTCACTAAATTTATCGGCGGTTTCCAGAAAATTCTTGAAAAACCTTATAACTGTGGTTTTGAACTCTCTATCCAGTAGTTTGCTTTCCTCCATTTCTGTCATTTGTGACCTGTTTCTTTGTCTCTGCATTTTTTATGCTTCCCTGTGTTGGTAGAGTGGCTTTGTGTGCTAGGTGTCCTATAGGGCCCAGTGGCTGAGCCTCCCCAATTACCTGAGGTGGACACTCTTGGTGCACCCTTTGTGGGCTGTGTGCACAGTCTTGTTGTAGTTAAGACTTGATTGTTGTAGGTATCACTGGGAGGAATTGACCTCCAGGCCAATTGGCTGTGAGAATCAGCTGTGCCTACGGTGGGAGAACTTCTGTGCTGAAGACACCCTTATGAGGCAAGACTTGCTTCAGTAGGGCTTTGGTGCTCACTGAGTCTGCCCGCTGAGTGTGTCCCTTATGGATTTGAGGAGTTGTAATTGGATGGTCCCACTCTGACCACTGGGTACACTGGCTCTTGGATCTAAGGAGGTGCTAATTTAGCCTCTGCCCGAGGCTACCCAGCAGGAGCTATGATGAGATATGCAGATTCCCCTTCCTTGTTTGGGGTTTAGAGGTGCCCAAATGTGGCCCAGCTGTGAAGCAATGCAAGCTCCTATGGGGCCTTGGGCCTTCTCTTGGAAGTTCTGGGTCTGTTTGGCCCAGCTGCAGTTTTTTAGGTAATTTTCAGATTGCAAAGGGTCAGGGCATACATATGCAAAAGCCTCTGCAGCAGCCTGGGTGGGGGGTGGGGTGTCTCACGGAATCAACAGGGCGAAGCAAGCAGCTATAGCTGATCCTCAGCCCTGCCCTAAGGGGCCCCGCCTCTCAGTGTCCCGATAATTGCTGCAAGCACCTCTGAGGGAAAGCTGCCTTCAAGTTCCGAGTTCTGCCTACTGCCAGACAATCCAGTTTCTCCCCGTCTGAGTCCTGGGTCCCCAGAGACTTCCCGGAACTGGAGTTCAGAACAGTTGGGAGCTTGTGACTCCATCCCAATTCAAAAAGACAGCCGTGTCCTCAGTTGCCAGCCTTTTCCACACGCTCGAGCCTCCGTACCTCTGCACTTTACTTCCGCAGCTCCTCTGAGTCTCAGTGTGCTTTTCTCTTTCCTTCTAGTTGTAGAATTTCCACTCAGCCAGCATTCCAATAGTTCTGGATGATGTCCGTTTTGTCTTTTCGTTGTATTTTTGAGGTTGTTGTGGGAGGCAGCAATTTCCGGTGTTTACCTATGCCGCCATCTTGGTTTCTCCAACAGGGTCAGTTTTCAACCTCAACTCACTCCTGTTAGAGAGTTGGCTCAGAAGGGCTGTTGAAACATCCAAGGTCACCTAAAACACTAGTTTATTCTCTACTTACCCTCCACTCCCCTGATCCACTTGCTACAGTTTTCCACCTTACTCTGTGTCCCCTAGTAAATCTGACCCCTGTGGATACCATCACCTGGCCTTCCTTGGCTCCTGGTTGGCTTCTTCCAATGGGAGGCACCAATGGGCATCAGAGGGTGGGAGGAGAGGAAAGTTGGGGTATTTTCCCATCTACCCCATTTTTGCAATGTCTGTATTTCTTTGAGCCACTGCCCTTATGGGGTGGGGGGAGCTGACCCATAGCTGCAGCTCTCTCTGGTTCCAGGAAATCATTCCTCCCCTCTTCCCTTCAGGTTGAGTGGGCCAAGGCTCCCACTACTGTTAGACCAGGTAATGCATCATCCCCTGTTAATTCCCTTAACCCCCACCCAAACATCAGGTAAACTGCCCCTTCATTAAACTCTTCTCAGTAAACCCTATTGTGTGGGTTCTCTCTCTTGCTAGGACCTGGTGCCCACAGTCAAGAAGATACAAACCCCCATTTTCTGCTCCTTGATCACAAGCTTCTTCTGGCTTCAGGACAGTTGCACTTGCAGTTTTCTCTGTTTAAAAATAATCTCTTCATCAATAACACAAATAACAAAACACGTTTTTTGGTGTTTTTTTTCATAAAGAGGAAAGGATAGGGATAAAGAGTTAGAAACATCGATGAGAGAGAAACATCAATCAGCTGCCTCTTGCACACTCCCTACTGGGGATGTGCCCGTAACCAAGGTACATGCCCTTGACCGGAATTGAACCTGGGACTCTTGAGTCCGCAGGCTGACCCTCTATCCACTGAACCAAACCCATTAGGGCAAAACACGATTTACATATTTAGCAGTGCTTATCACTCATTATGGGTTTTACAAATACTACTTAATGTTGTTATCGTTGCTGCTGTGTTAAATATGTATAAAATTGCTATATACCAGAATAGATATAGATGTTTACTTGAACTTAAAAAGAGCACAGTTTTTTAATACTGTGTCAATTTAACTAATATTAACTAATATTGAAATATCTCATCTGTGTCAATTGTTATTCATCTTCGGTGCATTTCTACAGTTAATGCTGTCCTTTGTATGCCTGTATTTTTCAAAAGAAGTGCTATGGGCCTGGCCTGTGTGGCTCAGTGGTTGAGCATCAATCTATGAACCAGGAGATCACGGTTTGATTCCAGGTCAGGGCACATGCCCAGGTTGCAGGCTTGATCCCCAGTGTGGAGTGTGCAAGAGGCAGCCAATCAATGGTGCCCTCTCATCATTGATGTTTCCATCTCTCCCTCTCCCTTCCTCTCTGAAATCAATAAAAAAAATTTTTTTAAAGAAGTGCTATGGTTTGGGGGTTTCTTATTCATTTTAAGTTGAAATATGATCCAAGATTGCATAATGAGGGGAAGTAATAACTATACAATGTTTGATAAATCAGTGTCTTGTTTTATCACAATGACATTTTAAAATAACATATACATGAATTAAAAAAATAAAATACACATAGTTTAAAAATAAAAAAAACAGTCATCTTGGGACCTTCCTGACCACTGTCTAAATCAGGGATCCCTTCATTCTCTCTCACCATCTCACCTTGTGCCTGTCACAGCACTTACCACATTTTAATTATGATTGTTTCCTAGTGTAATGTTTGTCTCTCCCACTAAACTGTGAGCTTGACAATGGCTTTTGAATCTTGCCTGCTGGTTTCACTACTATGTCCCAGTGCAGTCGATTAGCAGACATACTAGGATTCTGTAATGAAGAGGTCCCCAAATACACAGAATGAATAGCATAGTTTATTTCTCCCACAGGTGATGGTGTGGGTAGGTGGTCCAAGTTGGCATGCTGGTTTGAAGAGTTCTCCAGAACACCTTCCTCCTCAGCCACACCAGACACCACTTAAAAAACCCTCTTACCCAGAGCAATCCTACTCTCTTTGGCCTCAGCTCCCTGATCCAGCCTGCCCCAGACGCTTATTCTCCCAACAACAGGCTCACCTGTGCCTTCCCAAACCACAGAGCAAGTTCCCAGAAAAAAAGTTGATGTCTCACAATGCCACAGGACTACTGTATGCACTTTCTTGCTTATGGTTGTTATTAAATATCACTTTTTCCCCTTCTGTGGCTATAGTTTACATCTGTCCACATCCCTCACCTTTGGGAAAATTACTTCTGTAAAATGGGCATAATCATAGTTTGCTTCCTAGGGTTGCTATAAGAATTAAATGAGCATAAAGCTTTTAGAACTGAAAATAAAACCTGCAACGTGCTCTTTAAATAATCATCAGCATTCCTCTCTTTTTTGATTCTGTTAACTTCTTCATGAGGTAGATGGCAGGTATCATCTCATTTACAGGTGCAGAAATGCAGGACCAGAGACCTAAAGCAAGTTGACCAAGGACACTGGGCTGGTAGGTGGTAGAGTAAGGGTTTAATCCAGACCTGAACCTCAGTGACCTCATGATAAAATTGGGGTGTGAGGGCACCACCTCATAGGATTGGGTTGTGAGAATTCAATGCCATCATGCAATCAAGTAACAAGCACATGGAGGGCATTGGTCAAATGTCTGTGCCCTTCTCCTTCATGATGCCCACCCCTTCACCAGCCCTCATGGAGCCACCAGGGATCCCAGCTCCTGGCAGCCCTGGGGTCAGCAACTGGGCCCACAGAGGTCCATTGTCTCTGTCCTTCGGGGCTCTATTGTTGTGGCCTCCTCCCAGCGTCCAGCCCAAGACTGTCAGCTGCCCCTGGGGGGTAGTTTTGGCTTCCCTCCCGGGTCAGGGGAGTCGCGAGGGACGGCGCCTTGAGGACTGGATCACCGGCGCGTTCAGGGTTGTGTCGATGAAGAATGGAGACTCAGAGAGCCTACGGCCGGCGTGGGAAGTGCTTGTGTCAAGTCCGAGCTGCTTCACCCGGGTGCGGGGAGCGCGTGACCGCAGGTCAGAGGCGGGGTCGCCTGAGGCCCGCGCACAGACCTCACGCTGCAGACACTCGGGAAGCAGAGACCCGGGCGCGGCGCGCGGACGCAGCCCAAGGTCACAGCGAT